ATCCCGGGATTTGCTCGTTGTTGGCGAGGGCGGCTCCAATTCCTTTCGCGGTGCAGTAGGATCGAACACTGGCAAGGCTGGCGGCTGGGTTGTAATTGACAGGGAGGATGTGGAAGACTGAAGCTGTTTGTCAGACTCGAGTCTCGAGAGCGGTAGCAAACTACTCACAAAGCTGAAAGTCGAGAGCGAGGCTGTCACAGTCCCCGCGGGTGGTGCAGCCGTGATTGTCCTAATCTCGGGAGGCGCTGTTACGGTGATGGGTGGAGTTGTGGGAGCCTCAATGGGTGCGGCGATAGGTTGCTCGGGCGCTTGATCGTTGATGGGCAGATTGGGCCGCGGAACGGGTTGGCTGCTAAAATCGGGCAGTACTGCCGGTGGCGCTGCCGGAGGCGCCGCTGGAGGGGGGGCAACGGGCGGCGTCGTGGTGGGAGACGGTGGGGCCGCTGGCGGAGGTGGGGACGGGTTCACGGGTGGTGGTAGGGATGGCCTCGGGCCGGGGGGCTTGATGGGGGTGAGAGTGACGGGCGGCTGGGCTGCGGCAGGCGGAGGTGCAGAAGCAACAGGCGAGTTGATTGGCGACGTTGGCGATGTTGGACTGTCGGGCCCGCTGTCGCTGTCCGAGCCGTCTGCAACGGCGTCGTTGGCCAAGCCAATTTCGGGTACCGGGGTGGGAAGGTCGTCGTCGCGGGTGGAGATGACGTCCCTTGTCTTGGTGGCGGGCACCTGGCGGCGGTTCTTGTTGTGTACAGGACCGGCCTCGTCGTCAGAAGAGTTGCCGCCGCCATCGGCCACGTCGACTCGCTGCCGTATCCTCCTAGCGGGCACACGAATGTTGCTAGGGGGCGATCCTCTTTTCCAACCGGGCCTCTGCCCGTTCGCTGCAATGAATGGTGCCATTTCCTTTCCCTCGATCATGCTCTACGGGCCTCCCGTAGCCTTCAAGATGCAGATGGTGATTCGTTGGTGCTACCGGTTGGCACAGGACATGACCACGGGTGTCGGTCAAGTCGATTTGAAGTTGTGTCCGGGGTTGGTCGTCTTGTTCGAGGCACCCGATGACGACTGAGAAGGAAAGGCAGAAGCAAAAATGTAGACCAGGAAAAGGCGTATGGTAAATAGGAGTCGATGAGTCCCAATCAAGGGCGTCTCAATGAAGAAGACAAAGTGAGTACAACGAAGGCCGGCCTTGTGAGTGAAGAAAAACGGACAAACAATAGAAAAGACAGACACCCAGTGGAGTTTGGTGGATAGGGAAAAGGAGGGAGAAGGGAGAAGGGAGGAAGCGGAAGAAGAGCAAGACAACAGTAGTAGACGGGGGTGCGGTGGGAGGGCGGCGTCAGTTTGTATCAGATCAACATCGCGGGCCCGTGTGCACCATCATACGCGCGGGGAAGCCAACTACTGGTCGAGCGATCTAGAGCATTGTTGCACGAAGTCGTGGTGCTTCAGGGATGCGTCCACACAGCGAAGAGTCCGGGGGCACTGACCCAAAAAGTCAGGTACCATTGTCGCCAGAACGGGTGCGAGTCGTGGTGCAGGGCGCATGGTCCGCGACCTTAGGCTCCCAGGGGTTGGACCGCACGAGCGAAGGGGTTGCAGCTTGACGTCTGGGCTTCATCTTCTTCGGACGCGGATCCGCCGATGGTTTGTCGAGGTCCCCGTCTAGGTCGCTCGCTGCCCACCCCTCCCATCAGTTTCTGTGGATTCTGTGGCATGCTCAAGCACATGGCTGTGGAACAGCAACGTTCTCTGGCACGCGAATTGCTCAGAAGGGAGAGAGCTTTGGCTCGTGGGGCCAATGCCATCAATGGCTTCGATTGCATGTAGCTAGCTTGGCCCAATCTGTCAATTGAAGACCCCAACTCGTCTGCAGTACAGTGAGGGATCGATATTGAGTGCCACAGCTGACTCGCTTCAACAGCGACCGCTGAGCGGGAGTGTCGCTGGTAAATGACGAATTGTCGCGAGGTTCACCTTTCCAGGTCGGCCCTGGCCGAGGTAAGCGACGAGATCGCTGCCGGGGGAGAAGCTCGACAGCGTCGATGCGTCGCGCTGGGGGTTTCGAAGACAAGGAGCCCCAAGGCAAACCGCTGGCCGTTCCGAGGCAGATGTGCCGGGATGTCGACGTTTGGCCACCTCCTGAGAAGGGCTGCCCTACTTGCCGTGCTACGAGCCGTCCGTCACGAACAAAAATGGCCTGCAGCAGCGTCCAGCGATGTTGCTTGCGAGGAATGAAGGAACCAAGAGCATGAAGCAGCCGGCCCTGAACGCTGTGACACTCTCCTGCACCATTACAGGGGTCTTTGCGTCTCAGCATTGAAGAGCGGGTTTCAAACCAGGCCGCCGGGCAAGGGTCCCGCCTGTTCCCGTGCACTCCAGCGTCGACTGCCGCTGTCTGTGTCTGATCGGTCGCAGAACCGCGTCATGATTGGCTACGAGCTGGCCAGTGGTCCGGAATGTGGGTGAGATCGAAGGGGGAAGACTGGCATCGAGGCTCAATATCGTCGTCTCTCCTGGTGAACCTATCTATCGTGCCTGCTTTTTTCGCCGAGCCTGTCAGAAGGGGAAGCAGCCGCCCGCGACAGCCCTCTCGAGAGACGCAAGAGGGCAAAGGCTGTTCCAGTCTCTCATTCAGTGGTGTTTTTCAGACGTAAGGGAAGGATGCCAAGGAGGTCGATCGTCCGTGTCACTACCATCAAGAGAGAGTCAGTCAACAAGCGATACAGGCTGGCATCTATTTGTCAGTGGCCCTGCCCTACAGGCTGGGCGCAAACCATTTTGCTGAGAACCATGGCTGCGGTGTTACCGACCCGTCATTTGGGAAACTTTCACAAACGTCATGCTTATGCTGCCGAAAATCGTGCCAAATACCGAGTGCATAGCAGAGTCATACACGCGGCCACAGCCGGCCTTTCCTTGCCAGGAGGACACTTCATGCCAGCACTCGGCTCCGGATCGCTCCTCAGAATGGCGCCTGTGTGGTTTATCGTCTGTTTAACCTGAAGCTCGCGGGACAAGCCTCGAGACAATTGAGGTACGGCCTTGGCGTCTGGAAACACGGTGGGGACGATCCGAATCACGGCCACTCGCCTGCGTGTTGTTGGCGAGGCACAGCCTGGCCCACGTCCAGCTTCACAGCATCAGATGATGACTGTGGCAGTCGTAGCGCAAAAGCTGTCCAACTGGAATTTCACCTTCCGTTTGTCCCGCCGGGTCATGTTTCACGAAGGTCGGGTCCGCGTCTGCTCCGTCAGTCGGGTGGAACGGCAGGCGCACAGAGAGGGAATTCATTGAGAAGACGAAAAGGCGCGTGTTTCGTTTCGTGAGGACAAAGGGCCTGTGATTGCGGATACTACGAACTGCCAAGGCTTTGTGAGCGCAGCAAGGTCCCGGTATTGATTCACAGGATGTCCAGTTCCCTGCGTCCTGATCCCACGTAGCTTGGCATCATCGATGCTGGAAGTAAAGTCACATTGGGCAAGGTCGGGTAATGCTGATCATCAGCAAACCAACCAAGAACTGGTGGACTGGGAGCATCAAAGTGCGAAGTAGGTGGTCGTGTCTTGTGATCAGCCGTGACTGGTCGTCACGACCGAGGTATCAAATGGCTGCGATGCTCAAGCTGGCACAACATGTCTGCAGAGTCCTCATGTTCCGTGGCTGATGCCTCGGTGACATGATGAGCACCTTAATCCCGGGGCAGCGGTAGCAACCGTCCTCGTCGGGACTGGTGTCCCGCGACACCTTCGCAGCAGCAGGTGGGATCTGCGGGGGACGGGACCGGGTGATCTCGCGACGCGGAGGCCATTCCCGGCACACCATTCCGCGTGAGCGACCTTATCTGATGTGGGCTCGGCGAGGGTCGGGTAGGTCGTTTGTAAGTTGGTGGTATTGGGGAACTGCGGGAAGTACGTAATGGATCGATCTCAGCCGTAACGTCGGGTGTGGAGAACAAGACTCACACAACGGCGGAAGGGATGTGGTCATTGATGGATAAGGTAGATGGAGATGAGCTGTGAGCACGCTTCGTAATGTAGGGACATCACGAACCCAAATCATTGTCAGTGAACAACCAACCACTCCATGTAAGGAGGGACCTCGGACTTGGCTCGGAACCCAGGTGGTGGACCCAGACCATATTTCTCCGATATATTGCCGGCATTGGTACCGAATATGCAGGAAGGCATAGGCGGCAAACCCGTCTGAAAACTCAGTGGCGAGAGCAAGCGCTCCAGTCATGCGGCAGGCACACTTGCGGGCACGCAGGGCAGTAGGATCCACCAGAGCTCCTCTGCGGCGTGGCACTTGCCTACACTCACCTGCTCCTACTACTTCTTCGCACCTGCATAGGTAGGAACCAAGATGGGATGGATGGAACCAGCAACTGTTCGGCGACGACACGCTGCCGCTCCCCTTGGTCCGGGGCAATGCTGGTGACATGTTTGTTCAGTCGCGGTCTACCGGCTCATTCGTAGTGGCAGGTACAGCCTTGCTGAAAATGCCGGCCCGGTGGTCAAAGCTCCTGCTCTTCCGCGATCGCGCTGCATCTTCCCTGCAGCAAAATTTTAAACAGCGAAAATTGAGAGCGAAGAACAGGGCGCACGCCAAGCATGCGCGGCGGTCCGTCAGCTGTAAATTCCACGGCCTGGCCCTTTCCCTGACCCTGTCTCAAGCGCTACCAATCACTGTGTCACAGTGATAAACGGTGCTGGCAAGAGTCATCAAGAATCACCCGCGCTGCTGGAGCACGTTGTCTGCCCAGCACTCCCGGTCCAGTCAGGATTCGGTTCTGTCCCGGCGTCACACTAACTGGGCCACCCTACCTTAGGTACCTTGAGGTAGCTTACCTTACCTGGCTTGCCTTGCCTTATCCTTGGGTCCAGTGACCCTAAATTCCCTCTTCTTGTGGCGCCTCTCCTTAGGACATATTTTTTCTCCCACCTCATCGTTAACCTCCCTTCCAACGACGGGACTGACGTTCCCCTTTGCCAATTGGAGCCATGGCTTCTTCCTCCCGCGCCATGAGTGCGCTGCGTCCCGTCCAGTTCGCTCCCCGAGCCTCGTCGATTTCGGCTTCGTCGGTTGCGACCACAAGGGCTTTCGCGACGTCATCACAGAGGACTCTCAAGTTCGTCCCGACCTCGAGGCCTCACGCGCCCTCCATCGCCAGGCAAACGACCCTCGCGCGCCAGTTCCAGCGTGCTTACGCCGATGCCGCTCCCCTGCCGCCTCCCCAGAAGCCCGGCAAGGTTCGCACCACCTTCAAGTGGCTCTGGCGATTGACCTACCTGTCGGCCATCGGCCTGACCGTCGGAGTTGGCTACACAATCTACGTCGACAGGAACCCCCAGCCTCAATTTGAAGCGGACCCGACCAAGAAGACCCTCGTCGTCCTCGGTATGCCCAACCATGTCCGCGGTATACGTGTGACCAAAGCTGACTGACACGCAACAGGCACCGGCTGGGGTTCTGTCTCCCTCCTGAAGAAGCTCGATACCGAAAACTACAATGTCATCGTCATCTCGCCCCGAAACTACTTCCTCTTTACGCCCCTGCTGCCTTCGTGCACTACGGGTCTGATTGAGCACCGTTCCATCATGGAGCCTGTTCGCGCCATTCTCCAGCACAAGAAAGCCGCCGTCAAGTTCTACGAAGCCGAGGCTTCCTCCATCGACCCGGAACGCAAGGTTGTCATGATTACCGATAACTCCGAGGTCAAGGGTGCCACTTCCCAGACTGAGATCCCTTACGATATGCTTGTCATTGGCGTCGGCGCCGAGAACGCCACCTTCGGCATTCCTGGTGTCCGCGAGAACTCGTGCTTCCTCAAGGAGATCAACGACGCTCAGTCGATTCGCAAGAAGATCATGGACTGTGTCGAGACCGCCGCTTTCAAGGGTCAGACCAACGAGGAAATCAACCGCCTGCTGCACATGGTTGTCGTTGGCGGCGGCCCCACCGGTGTTGAGTTTGCCGGCGAGCTTCAGGACTTCTTCGAGGATGACATCAAGCGTCTCGTGCCCGATATTGCTGATCGTTTCAAAGTCACCCTGATCGAGGCCCTCCCTAATGTGCTTCCGTCCTTCTCCAAGCAGCTGATCGAGTACACTGAGAACACATTCAAGGAGGAGAAGATTGATATCCTGACCAAGACCATGGTGAAGAACGTTACCGACACCACCGTCGAAGCTGTCGGCACCAACCCCGACGGCTCCAAGAAGACCATCGTCATCCCCTACGGTCTCCTTGTCTGGGCTACCGGCAACGCCGTGCGCCCCATTATTAAGGAGCTCATCAGCAAGATCCCCGCCCAGAAGGATTCTCGCCGCGGTCTCGCCGTCAACGAGTACCTCGTCGTCCAGGGCACCCGCGATATCTGGGCTATTGGTGACTGCGCTGTCGCCGGCTACGCCCCTACTGCCCAGGTCGCCGGCCAGGAGGGCAGCTTCCTCGCCCGCCTGTTCAACAACATGGCCAAGACCGAGGAGCTCGAGAGCAAGGTGCGTGAGCTCAGCAGCAACCTCAACGTTAAGCCTGGTAACTCGGCCGAGGCGGCGCGCGAGATCGAGGCCTGCGAGCGCCAGCTCCGCCGCATCAAGGACGTCAAGCCCTTCCACTACACCCACCAGGGCAGCCTGGCTTATATTGGCAGCGAGAAGGCTGTCGCCGACGTCAGCTGGTGGAACGGCAACATTGCCAGCGGTGGCAGCTTGACCTTCCTCTTCTGGAGGAGCGCTTACCTCTCCATGTGCTTCAGCAGTAAGTGATCCTTCCTACCAGCACGACCTCCAACTTGCAACTTGCTCACACATTCGCAGCTCGTAATCGTCTCCTCGTCATCATTGACTGGCTCAAGTCCAAGGCGTTTGGCCGTGATGTCTCCCGGGAGTAACGGATGCCCAGAAATCCTCTTCAGCAACAAAGAATGTGGATGCCGCCTCCCCTTTCCCTTATGGTTTCTTTTTTCCTCATCGGTGTTGGAGCTAGATAGCCGGACCCGGTCGGCCGGCTGGCGGCATGAACTATAGATGTGGCAGTAGCGCACAAGCTGCCAACCCAAGTGTACAAGGTGTAATGGTACAGTTTTGGAACGTGGAAGTATGATAGCCGCTGCTCGTCACTGTGATTTTCTGGCTTGGTGAAAGTTGATGTTGAAGACATGATGCTGGACAGCTTTCCAAGGTGGGTATGGCCTCCCATGACAGCAAGGTCGAACCCGAAAGATCGACGGCTTCCCTTGAATCGCTAGTCGACATCTACGTGCCGAACAAGGCCACTTACTGTATTGATTGCAGTCGTAAGCATGGGAGATGTCTATCCCGCTAAGCATCGCGTACAACAGACTTGGATGAGCTAATACGAGGCAGCATCGAGGCTTGCACACTGCCACAGCACATAGTTTCAGTAGGCCTTGAATTGATGCGAGTCATCTGTCGTAAATCCATGTTCCGAGCGGCCGTGCCACCGCTGGCCGGATCTTTTGGGAGCATTCAACGGGCCGTGCGCCCCTGCCAAGTCCGAAGTAAAGAACTCCGCCCATTTCAGGGCGACAAGGTGGACTACTGTATGAAGGTGGCATCATCAGGCCGACAAGGCACCGCGGTTTCCGCCAAATTGTAACAGGCTGTTCTTCTCATACATCTTCTCCCTAGACCTGTGCTTGCAGTGGTCTTCGCCCTGGCTGCCAGCGTCAAAGTCTTCGTCCGAATGGCCTCAACAACTGCTTGTCGACAAGGACCGCCCCCCCCACCGTAATAATCGTGGAGGCGACACAGTGCGGCGCTCAGACCCTGCAGTTTCCCGACTGGCGGGGACAGTGGAGACCGGGGCAGGGAGGAGTCCATGTTAAGCCGTATTCTGCCAGGTCGACCGAGATTATGGTCTAGGGTACCGGATAGTCCATGGCATGATGTAGGCTCACGATCATGGACACACTGCTTTGCCCTGCATATGTAACCCGTGGTGCAGCGGACAAAGGTGGCAGCTGGGGCCCAGAACTGGGATATCCAAAGCACGGACACATCGAATGTTGCGTGGAATGTTCCGCTCGAATGTCAAATGCGAGTGTCAACTATGACTGGCATCGTCTATTAAGTCCGGGACAAGGCGGTCAACAGCTGCTGTTTCTCAGGTCACATGAGACGTCGGATTTTGAAGTCGCCAATATCCTGCGATAGAGACAGTCCGCGTCTCCTACTACTGGCAACATGAATAAACTACACCTATCCTACGAGCTATATTAATAGGCCGTGACTTGCATACACAGCATTTATGACCAATCACGGACGTTTCAAAATTGAGCATACGTCCCAGCCTGAAAATTCCATCCAGGCTGCCAGCATCAGGGGCTGGCGGCAGCAGCTTGCGAAGGTGAAGAGATCAGGTTCCTATGCCGATTTATGATTTACTGGTACGCGCTGGATGTCCAGGTACAACTGCCATAGGCTATCACTTGTGACACTCAGCCCAGAATGCTTCCAAGTGGAAGCATAACCGTTCTCTTTAACGGTTGTCTTAAATGTGTGCGTGCGATTCTGGGCTTGCTGGTTGGATTGCATTGAAAGCGGGTTTTAAACCTATCTACAGGATAGGCTAGATGGACGTTGTTGGGCACTGTACATGTTGACTGAAGTGCGTCATGGCTTCAATGGCTAATTCGTCATGAAAGCCTGGATCTGACAACATATCACAGACGCAGGCCACCGGCGCGAAAGATCGGCGCAAGCCGGAGCCTCTCGTCCTGGCAAGATGCCTGAAAGCTCGATATATGTGAATGCGCTGTGGCGCTGTGCGAAAGCGAAGGCAAGCCCCGTCAGTCAACAGTGCTGATGAAGACACGGGTGCGGTGGTATGCGCATGTACAGACGGACGCACGGTGTGGTGTAAATGTACGAGCGAGACTTGTGTAATACAAGCGCCAGGGAGCTAGTCGGCATGCTGGCGGACTCTGGATTGTCTTACCGAAACGTCTGCCGTGCTGGCGAAGGTTATCAGATGCTAAGGGTGATGCGCTGAAAGATAGTTGGGCTCGTCCTTTCTGACGCAATTACAGCCGATCTACAAGCCACGAAGCAACAGGCTGGACCATTTCCTAGTCGAGCAACAGACCTTATCAGGGCCGTAGTTGGATACCAGCAAACCATGCCCAGTGGCTACGAGGCCTGGCATAAAGAGCAGCAGTTGGAAAGGTCACAATGTGGCTGGTTGGTAGTTGTACTTCTCGACAGCATCTTCGTGTGACAATCAAGACAGCTGTGATGACATTATGGACACGGTCACACGACGTAAACAGAGGAATGGCGATACAAATACCAGTGGCACACAGCACACGGCTACGCCCGCCATCCGCCGTCAAACAAAAGCAACGGAGCATTTTGCAGTGTGAGATGGGTGTCTCGGCTGGGTGTGTAGCCGCCGCTTCCTGCCCTCGACGACAGACAGGGTAGGAAAAGCAACCTGCGGATCCAGGCTGCTGGTGCAGAGCAGTAACAAGAAAGCTGCAAAACACCGAATGACGAAACGGCGGGTTTGGAGTGGCAGCCAAGAGTCAGGCAAAGCCTGCGAGACGCGGGGCTAAGTCTGCCTGACACTGTCTGAAGGTTGCTAGCATCGGGCGACGGTGGCAGCATGCCCGCTCGATTCACACGAAACCTTGAAGCCACCCGTCTTTCGGTGGTGATAGCGTCGGGATCAAATCACAGTCCGGATCCGCTCGATAATGCCCTCAGACGGTTTGGCTCAGTCAATGGCGATGCTCGCCTCCAATGGATTTGAGCGCATTGTCGAAAAAACAAGTACCGGAGGGATTCCATTGGCAATTTCGTCGTGATCGGTTTGGCGGAAGAAGGCAGTCTACTACTACTCCTCCGCCTGCTTACAAACAAGACTACACGTATCTACCTTAGGCACCCTGGCTGAATCTATCATGCTCCTTTTGAGTTGATCGCTACCGACGCAAGCTTGCCCAAAAAAAAACGCCCCCACCTTCCACATCTCCCCGATGAGGCCGGCTCTCAAGGCATGGACCCCGTTGCACGAGTACTGCTATCCAGGAAATGCGCGGGGAACCGTGACTGACTGTACCCGCGTCATCTCTGCAAGGCGTTAGGCTTCTGGATTGTGAAAGGTCTTGCTCCACGCCCAAGTCAGCATTCTCGAGAGGCGTTACATAGGGTCAAAGATGTGCCGAATGCACACTTGAGGTACCACGTACCTGCTAACCATGGAGCTCCCACCCCGGCAAGTCATCCACGATCCGCCATTCACTAGTGCCTGCCCCAGGGATGTGGTAGATCACCTACAGTGTGTATAGCACCACGAACGCACTGCTGACAACCGTGATGCCTGCGACTTTCCAGCCAGTCTGCAGCCCGCTGGAGTGCTTGCATCGAGGGGAGAGAAGGGCGCCCGGCACTGTCCACGCTAGCAATGCCAATCTCTCCGTGTCGCAACCAAATTCACCCCCCTCGCAAAATTCCATGATCCTCCACCGAAAAACCCGCTTGGCCGTTACCCTCACCTTTCCAGACCAAGCTCGGCCCCGCCTCGTCTCCTGCTGGGTCGTCATTCGTTGCGTCTCCAGTCCTCGATGTCTTTAGTGCTTGTGCTTTACGCTCGTCTCGTCTTCCGCCCCCGTCTTCTCCATCGGGCATCAGGCCTTCGAATTCTACGATACGACAAGAGTGTGCAGTCCTGACGGAACGATTGCCCCTAGCACACCATTGCAGCAAGCATTGCACTGGCCAGACGAATCGTCATTTTTGTTGGCGAGAGCATCGAGCTTGGAGTCTTTCCGGGGCAGGGGATAGACACAGGGCACCATCCGGGCCATCGTGCGCGGCCCTACAGTCAATTATTGGACAGTCCCCCGCTTCCCCTTTTGGCCAACAAGCGAAGCAGCAGGTCGGTAGGCGTTGATCGCATGGGAGCTCCAGCGGGAACAAAGGAACCGAAGCTACCTACCTGCCGCAGGCATCGCGGAGGACCATAATTATCCTGTGCGTCCAGGCTGTCGCTGGCTTTTTGCCAAGGGGTGGAAATAAAACCCGGCAAGCTCTGTCAAACCCTGCTTCGACAGAGCTGTCGTCTCTGCTTTTCAAGCTGGCTCGACTACCTAGGTACCTAAGAAGCAAAGCAGACAGCTCTGGGTACCCATCCGAGGCCCGCAAGTCTTCGCGTACCCATCTCCCACGTCCCGGCGTCCTGACAACCTGTACGCACGCACTCGGGGACCTTTTCTTATTTTTCCTACCCGAGCAAGGCATGCAGCAGGTGCAGTAGGCTTGCCTCGATTTGGGTGTCCTCCCAGCGCAACCCCCAGCTGCGAGCACCAGCCAGTCCCAACGCCGTCCCCCCCGAGCCGTCCCCACTCTCCACCATTGACAAGCCAGCCAGGCCACCAGACCACCCAGGGCCACCCCCAGCTAATCATTTCCCTCTTGCCCAGAAGCTGATCTTACTGGCTCGCGCGCGAACCCCCCTCCCCTGAGCTTGCATTCCCCCTTCCCATCTCATCCCCCATCAGCCAACACTGGACCGTGTGGACTGGGCCACCCACCGCCGCAACCACCACCTCTCTTTTCTTTCCTGTCCTCTCCACTGAGACTTCGCCAATTCAATTCCATCGACGACCTCCTCCGCCGCCCACCCCCCCGTTGCCCAACGATCGACGAACAACCGCCCTTCCCCTCCTCCCATCTCTCACCCTCTCCGAGTCGTTCACACACGTCCGATCTTCGTCGCCATGAATTCGCAATCTCCAAACGACGTGTCGCCCGAGGCGATGCAGGCGCGCATTCAACAGGCGCGCCGCGAGGCTGAAACCCTGAAGGACCGCATCAAGAGGAAGAAGGATGAGCTTGCCGACACCACACGTCAGTTCGCCCCCCCCTTGTCGTTCATATACCCATCTCCCGTCGAGATGCTGTCCGCCCGGCGACTCTGTCGCGTCGTCTGAGAGAACCCCCACTGACAATTGACAACAGTTCGATCCGTCGCCCAACAAGCCCACGAGCCGATCCCTAGGGGCCAGCTCATGAAGGCCAAGCGTACCCTCAAGGGCCACCTCGCCAAAATCTACGCCATGCACTGGTCGACCGACCGCAGGCACCTCGTTTCCGCTTCGCAAGACGGCAAGCTCATCATCTGGGACGCCTACACCACGAACAAGGTCCACGCTATTCCCCTGAGATCCTCATGGGTCATGACTTGCGCCTACGCCCCTAGCGGCAACTACGTCGCCTGCGGTGGTCTCGACAATATCTGCTCCATCTATAACCTCAACCAACAGCGCGATGGCCCCACGAGGGTCGCCCGCGAGCTCTCTGGCCACGCCGGTTATCTCTCTTGCTGCCGCTTCATCAACGACCGGAGCATACTGACGTCCTCTGGAGACATGACTTGCATGAAGTGGGACATTGAGACGGGACAGAAGGTTACTGAGTTCGCCGACCACCTCGGCGACGTCATGAGCATCAGCCTCAACCCGACAAACTCCAACACCTTCATCTCCGGTGCCTGCGATGCCTTCGCCAAACTCTGGGACATTCGTGCCGGAAAGGCGGTTCAGACTTTTGCCGGTCACGAGTCAGATATCAACGCAATCCAGTTCTTCCCGGACGGCCACTCATTCGTCACGGGCTCCGACGATGCCACCTGCCGACTGTTTGATATCCGTGCCGACAGGGAGTTGAACCTCTACGGCGTATGTACCCTGTTCCCCACAGCGATGGCCTCCCTCCAACGCGAACCCTTGCTGACAAATCGTCCACGTACAGTCCGAGTCTATCCTCTGTGGCATCACCTCCGTCGCAACCTCCGTCTCCGGCCGCCTGCTGTTTGCCGGCTACGACGACTTTGAGTGCAAGGTCTGGGACATCACCCGAGGCGAGAAGGTCGGTTCGCTCGTCGGCCACGAGAACCGTGTCAGCTGCTTGGGTGTCAGCAACGACGGCATCAGTCTGTGCACAGGCTCTTGGGATTCTCTTGTGAGTGTTGTGTCTATGAAACTATGTTTGTTCCCTACGTTGCTAACCTCAGCGTAGCTCAAAATCTGGGCGTACTAGAATCGCCTCGACAAAACGGAAGCACCACAAAATACTTTCTGGAAACACCGGTCCCAGTGCTCGCAACTCCCTGCTAATCCCAACACGAGTGGCTTTTCCATCGCCACCTAATTGCCGACCTCTACGCCACCTACCCCCCCTTTCTAATGCGCGAGTGCTGGCGCAGCCGGGACGAAGTCACGATACACCTGCTCATAACCGCCTCTCGCTTCTCCTCCTCCACAACGCTATCGGCTGCAGCAACCCTCCGCCATTGACGTTGCACTGTTGGCGACCCTCTGCACCATAGTTATATTTCTCTCCCTTACTAGCACTCAGACCGCTAGTATCGACGACTGTATCACACTTGAGAGGTTTTCCCATGTTCTCTTTTTTTTCAATCCATGTACGCTTCATAAGTCTCCCCGTTATGCCTGTCGCCGACGACGATGGGATAGTTGAGGGAGATTGCAGGACCGAGGCGTTGATACCCCCCTTTCACCAAAATCAGCCCTTTCACGTCCGACGCTCGCGCTTCCGACCTCTCCTGGGCTTGTCCACGCGCATCGGCAAGTTAGCACGACAAGGGTCAATGGTTACACCTATCCCTCAAACGCTTCTACCAGTCCTCTTCCACGGATCCCCTAACTGCGATGGGTGGCTCTTAGGTCAACCAACTCCGATTCTCTTCGTTGCGCGTCACGAGACAGTGTGCTGAGCCATGCGGCATTTCCTTGACTGTTTCTTCCGGAGAAGTGTTGAATGCCCGTTAGACGAAGAGGTGCTATTCTGCGATTTGTCGAAGGAAGGCCTGCTGCTTAGTGCGAGGAGGGGGGGAGACCCGACCGTTGGTCTCGGCGTGGCTATAGGGTTGGCGCATGGACGACAGGCACGGCGGCTCGGAATGGTTGAGGCGGCTGTGGCGACGACAACGACGCGGAAGAACACCAGCTCGCGGGTATGAAGGAATGCCCGTGACGGACGGGGGACAAAGAGCGATGATGGGAAGACAGCCTATGTTTTAGTCGTTTTGTTTTGTGCTGTTGTTTTATTTGTTTTGGTGTTAAGCGCCCGCCGTCTGCCTGTCGTCGTTACATGTCTGCCTGTACTATAGTAGCTCGTGCTAAATGCCTGATTCGTCACTGACCAGCTTCCTATGTTTTGTCGGCCCAGCGTGATGCCATGCTGATGACGATGCCTTTACTTCGCTTGCAAGACACGAGGACTCTAGTTATGCCGTGTCCGTGGTCGGGTAGATGCTGTGGAACAGGAGCATATAGAAGAGGGGGGTGGGGTTCATTTTTTTGCCGTCGGGGCCAAACGGGGCACCCAACCTAAACTGCTGCTTCTGAAGTAGGTGGCCGAGAGGTTGTGCTCGTGAGACTCTCGGGGGTGCTCCCGGTCATGTTAGAGGGCTTGGTACAACCTTGGAACCCAAATTGAGTGGTGGATATACGAAAAGATAAATATCGTGGGTACTGTGAATTGCATGTTCTGCAGGACCAACGACTTGATGTGATGATGGAGGTGCCCACCTCGAGTACCTTCTCGTCGCAAAGTCAGTTATCACGTATTGATATCAGAGAATGGAGAGAGGACGCTTCTATGGTGTTGATGTTATAATATAAATACGTCGGAGGTCTTGGTTTCTCCTTCAATTTTCATTCTTCTACAGAAGAGCCCAGATTCAAAAGTTGGTATCAGCCAGTCCTTGCCTCGTTTCTTTAGGGAAGCTGACCTTGTGAAGTAATATGTTTACCACGAGAACTTGCGCTATGAGTATCCTTTTCTCTTACAAACTGCTTGAAAGATGAAGTCGCATCAAAAGAGATCCTCGTTGCTCGGCTTTTCAGCCACAGGGAGGAAGTACAATGCAACAAGTCACTCTTCTATCCAGGCGCAAAAGTATCAACCTCTATAGGAAAATGCATCGACCATGGACAAAACCTCGGGTAAAATACCGCAGACTCTGAATTCTTAGTTTTTGAAAATCATCTGGAGAATATACTCAGTGTCATTCAATGCCAAGTATAAATATGACATGTTATCAGTCAAAGAAAAGAACAGAAAAATAGGAAGCACGCCAGTTCCAACGTTTTGAGCGCATAACGTTGGAGCTCAACCGCTCGAAGTCGCCGGCTGATGTTTAACTTTCCCCTCCCCTCTCTTTGATTCCCTCGTCCACGTAAGACGCAAACGAATAAATATTGTGAACATTAACAAGACGACAGCCGTCCATGAATAATTCGACGTATGCCATGTATCAAGAGTCGCCCAGAATGAGCATGTCATGAGGATCGTGAGATGACTAGACACCTCCAGGAAAAATTCCTCAAGCCTCGTGTAACAAGGTTCCCAAGCATCCCTTTGAACCCGAACTTGATCTCAGTACAAGCAAGCGCCCCACAAGCCGTATACCGCCTTCATAATCAGGTTTAGCGCTGCTACATTTGTTAACCTTGCCAGTACCTAGAGTCTACCTCATTCTAACGTAATCCATCTGAGGTCCTCGCTATAAACCCAGTACGCCTGATGTCATTAGGTAGGCTGCAGTACTATAGCTTATTGTGAATGTACTGTGGGCTAGGTGCATAATTTGATTAGCTGTCAAGCTCATTTCTGCCACGTTAGTTGGGTCCTTCTAGTACGTATTTTTTGTACCTGAGATCAATTTCGGGTTCAAAGGGATAAAGCTAGGAGAGCAAATAAGTCATCCCACTGGGTGCAAGACTACGTGTTCCCGATGCCTGGGTACAGGGGGGGCTTATAGCAGCTAGGATCACGTCGCTCAGAGATAACTCCTTACCTTTCGAAAACTTGGCACGATGCATCAACCTACGCATGGGCAGCATGAGTATCCCAATGTCGGTCAGGCGATCATCTGCACCGGACGTCATACCGTCTCGAGGTCAGAGTCACGTTTGGGTTTCTGACCCGGGTGAAGCGACCTGTTAACGACCTGTGCAGTGGCTCCAGTGAGCTTGCTTGGCTTGGTCCCGTCCATCAAGTCGCGTAGTGCTCGATCCCAGCAAATGAGCGAAAGTATATCTACCCCGAGAAGCGGCGATGGACTTGGTTGGATAACATGGGTATCATGGGTATCGAAGCACCAGACGGATCATCACTATGAAACATCTAAAAAGAAGTATAGCAATAGCCAGCGTGGCACAGCTACATGCAGCACATGTGTCAGAATTTTGCCAGTCCCATAGACCCAATATTGACAGAGGCAGTTGGCGCATCTAGCGATCAACGACAGCAAGCCGGCGAGGTTGTACTCCGCCTGATTTTATCTTGCTACGCCGACCCATTGTTCAATGCAGGGTACGTCGGGCTCACCGCGTTGATCGCGCTCAGAAGTGCAGAGTATAGGGCGAAGCAGGCTTCGAGACTGACTAATGGGGTAACACCCTTGTTGTAAGGCCCGTGGCTGTTCCACAGGGGTGATGAGCGAGTCAAAAGACCAGATGTCCATTAGTGAATGCGAGGTGAACAAATTTGGAGATGGCTGATGGAGGCCGACACGGAAAGCATGAAACAAAGGCATGAAACACGGCAACGTGTTCTGGTTCGCCAACAATATCGGTATTGCGTTCTGCCTTCTGCCATTCCATTATCCCGTCCGATGTTTTGCTGGGTTTAAGGAGGACATCATTTTGAACGAAGGGGCCCTTTTTGGGACTGGCGATCTGGGGCAGACCCGAAGTTGCGGATGACCGACAGCAGCGCATGACTCGGAGGGGTATATCCGGGACAAGTCATCAAGGCATGATAACAGCGAATCGCGTTGTATGCGACCACGACTCTGACGTTTTCAAGGGCGAGGCTGGTCGGCCTGTTCTGGCGTACAGGGCGAGATGAACGGAGGAAGAGCCAAGGCACAACCCAATTACTGGATGTTGGTCGTTAACAGAAGACCAGCAGATCCTCACCGAGCCAGGGCTTTGCATAGACGTCATCTATGCACCGGAGATGGCCTGAGAAGCAATGGCCGGGTATTTGTCTATACATAGCGTATGGAAATTCGGCTTCCTCACTCGACAATGGATGGCGATTTGAGCGCAATTCGATCGGTGTCCCATGCTGCCACTAGCCTGCTTGCAACATCAGCGTGCATTGCTAGAGAATAAGATGCTCACGCAACACGAGGCCACTCTCGAAGGCAGGAACATGCTGTAAGAAAGGACAGCACCAATCGGCATTGAGGCCACGAGGAGGCAGCTTGGCAATTACCAGTAGGAGGTCCCAAGCAGGCAAGCCAGACGCAACCACATGGAACTGGAGGCCGCTAATCCCAGCGGACCACGCGCTGTGGCCGGGGGCCCTGCCAAGTACTGCACATGCCCCAGCCTCTGCAGATCGGCGGCCTGGCCACCTGGTTCTCGCTCACAATGGTGAGGTGCTGGACGCATGTTTGGTGCTTGGCTGGTCAGGCAGCTCATCATCATTCGTACTCTACGTCACCCCCCTGATCAGACCAGGTACCAAATAGACCACATGAAACTATCCCACCCAGAGGCAATGCGGTGGCGAGAAGCAAGCCGAGGGAGCCAGCAGGGTTGGCCAGGCCGACTTGGCCGCCCTGCATCTCCATGAGATCCAAGGGGACAAAGGTACGATCTACAGTTTACGGACGAGGAGAAACTGAGTGAGCAGCGAGATCCCATTGTCGCCGGCTGATGAGAGCCTTGATTCTGAAACAGCCTGACGCAAGCGCAGGGGCTGCCATCCTTGCCCCGCCTCTTCTGACTCCCGCGCGCCTCCGATCGCCGCTTGCAACAACTTTCTCGACCTCACCGCCGCACCGCGCGCGCTCGGGGCAGGGTTCTCTCACAGCCCCTGAAGCCCCTCCCTGCCTCCTTTGCACTCTCGGTCACCGCCGGCTCCACTGCTTCGAGAAGTTCTTCGGCGGCGCTCTGCCCGGATGGCGGCCCCCACCCTTCCCCCTCTATCCCCCGCTGGCATGGCCATCCTGTCCAAGTCCTGTTGCGTTGGAAACAAGACGACTCCCACCACCTTGC